CAAAAACCATCAACCACATTACCGTTTTTTCATTCTTCATGTTTTTCCTGTCTTAACATCCTTCCCACTTCCAGTTATGCTTGGTTTTCGTATTTTTTAATAGAATTTCATTTTCTTTCCCAGAGGAACAAACTATGGGAGCAGAGAGTGTGGATCCTCGGCCAGGTCCTTGGCACACCTCTTCAGGAAAAGATGTGCCTGAGTGCAAAACGCAGTAGACTCCTCTTCTGTCATTTTTCTGGGGCCCAGTGTTCCTATTTGGAAATGACTTTGTTTTTTTATGTATTTATCCCTGGCAATGATGTCACACTTCAACTTAATTTCAATTCAGTTTTTACTTTGCCGCTAGAATTGGAAGAAGAAGGAACAGGAAATTAATGTATTCTAGTAATTTAGAATGGTTATAGCAATACCTTCTTTGTGCCTGTGGTAATACTTTTAAAAGTTTAATTATTTTTATTTATATATTTTGTAAAGAATAAAGTGATTGAAAGAAATTTCCAGTCTTTCAATGTATATATAAAATATTTACTTTTTTATTGATATAAAGTCATCCATATGTGACTTAGAAAATTCAAAAACATAATACATAAATAATTTTAAAACATCATTTATTAATAAAGTTATAAATTTTTTTAGTATGTTGAACATTTAATAAATGTTTAGAAATTCTGAATCACAACTCCATGTAATATTAATGGTTCCTTGGTGGCATACTCTCCTCTCTTCTTGTTGCCTTTCAGGATTTTGCTGTGAAAATATACACGTTTTCTGGATTTAAATTCTTAATGGCTTTGTCCTCTTAACTTTCTAGTCCTTCTCTTCCTTTTGCTATAAGTTATTATACAAAAGTTCTTTCTCACTTTTCTGTTAACCCATCCACCCCATTTCCTATACCAACACTCTAAATTGATTTGTTCATTATTAGACTTTGTTTTCCATTGCGCCTCACTCCCAACTGGAACAACCTCACAGATTGCTTATTCTGCCTCTTCATTTTAAACATGAGGAAACAGTCTCAGTTTCTATCAAAGCAAAGTTTTCTAAACTTGAGGTCCCCACAAATACATAAAACATGTATGGATGGACATCATGCGATCTGTAAAACTTCTGAAATTTTATGTGGACTTTTGTATGTGGATTTATTTTCCAAATAGGCCCACTAGGCATTGTGCCTGTTTCTTGGTTGTAGGAGGGGCCAGATGCAACAACTTATCCTTCACCTTAGAAGGGATGTCTCAACAGAAATGCCACTGAGGTAGAAGGCCTCTGAATTTTAGTTGGATTTATTTCCCAGCCTCTGACATGCAAATGTCTTACTAACAAGTCTGAAGTAGTTGCCGCTGCTTGCTCACTAGGTCCAATCAGCATAATGTCATCAGTGCAATGGACCAGTGTGACACCTTGTGGAAGAGAAAGGCCATCAAGCTCCCTGCAAACTAAATTATGACAGGGCTGAAGAATTAATATTTCCTGAAGTAAGACAGTGAAGGTGTACTGCTGGCCTTCCAGCTGAAAACAAACTGCTCTAGGGGGCCTATGAACAGGTGTGAAGAAAAAGGCCTTTGCAGACCAATAGCCGCCTATCAGTTACCAGGAAATGTGTTAATTTTTTCAAGCCATAAAACCACATGGGACACAGCAGCTGCCATTGAAATCAGCACTTTGTTAAGTTTATGATAACGCACTGTCATTCTTCCATACAGGCAAAATAGAAGAGTTGAATGGGTGTGTTGTGGGAATTACGACCCGACCCCTGCATCTTTTTAAGTCCTTGATGGTGGGACTATTCTCTGAAATCCCCCCAGGGTTGCAGTATTGCTTCTGATTTACTATTTTCCTAGGTAGAGGCAGCTCTAATGGCTTTTATTTGGCCTTTCCCACTATAATAGCCCTCACCCCACAGGTTAGGGAACTAATGTGGGGATTCTGCCAGCTGCTAAGTATGCCTATTCCAATTATGCATTCCGGAACTGGGAAAATAAACACAGGGTGGGTTCAGAGACCCACCGTAAGCCTGACCTGAGCTAAAACACCATTGACAACCTGACCTCCTTAAGCCCCTGTTCTGACTGCAGAGACACAGTAATGTTTTGGGTCTCCTAAAATTAGTGTCCGTTCAGAACCAGTGCCAGTAGTCCCTGAAGTTCTGATTATTTACTTTTCTCCAGTGCACAGTTACCCTGGTAAAAGGCCATAGGCCTCTTTGGGGAATGCTGGGGGAAAGATTAACGGTATAAATTTTTAGCAGCATACTGGGATCCTTCCTGGAGAGGATCCAGCCTTTCCTTTATTCTAGGGTTTCTGAATCTATAAACTGGCTCAAGTGAGGGACCATGATTTTATTTTTATGATTCAGAAGATGGGGATGCTAGAGTGTATTTGTCACTTAAAACTTACTAATTCATAATAAGATAGTCCCAAAAAAACATCATTAAGAGAGATTTGTAAGGAAAGCCCCCTAGAGTCCTTAAAGAGCTCCATGATTGCTCTTCTCTGTAGGCCAAACCTTACAGTGGAAACCACAGCACTCAACTGAAAAACTGCAATAAAATGGAAATAATTGGATCCTGGGGTGTCATGGGCTAAATGGCAGCACTCAATCAATCACCAAAGGTAAGGTAGGCATTACTGTAATGGACAGTAGGGTCAAAGCAACAATCAGAATAGTCTGGTTCATTCACAAACAGACCTGTAGCATTTTGCTACTTAATCATGGTGTGTATAGGTATCACTTAATCTAGTCAAGTTGACACCTAAAATATACCGTCACAAAGATTTATATATCTGCATTCCAGGCAAAAAGAAAGTCAGTCAGAGCATCCTCACTTTTCCATTCAAGAAGGAAACCCTTTTACAGAAAATTCAGTCTGCATTTCACTGATTAGGTCTGTCCTACTTGGCCACTCCTGGCAGCAAAGGACACTAGGAACTTGAGAATTTTGCTTTCTGGTCCTTATAATGTAAAAGGCAGGGTTTAGATGGGTATTGAATAAACCAATTTATATGAGTATAGTACAGTAATACACTGCATAACAATGTTTTGGTCAACGATGGACCCAATTTACAATGTGCATTTATAATCCATAAGATTATAAAATAGCTAAAAAGTTCCCACTGCCTAGTCACATCATAACATCATAGTGCAATTTATTTTTTTTATAAATGTAGTTCAGGCTGGGTGTACAATGTTTATAAAGTCTACAGTAGTACACAATAATCTCCTAGGCCTTCACATGCATTCACCACTCACTGACTCACCCCGAGCAAATTGCAGTCCTGCAAGCTTTATTCATGGTAAGTGCCCTCTGCAGGTTGCATTAGTCCGTTTTCTGTCACTTATAACAGGATACCTGAAATTGGGAAATTTATAAAGCAATGAAATTTAATTTTTACAGTTTTTGAGGCTGGGAAATCCAAGGCCCTGGGTACATCTGGTGAGAGCCTTTTTCTTAGTGGGCTCTGTATAGGGTCCCACAGTGATGCAGGCAATCACATGGTGAGAATAGCAAGAGACACTCAATGTGCTCACTTGCTCCCCTCATAAAGCCACCAATGCCCCTCCTGTAACAACCCACTAAACCATTAACCCATTACTCCACAAATGGATTAATACAGTCATGAGAGCATGGTCATGAGACCCCACCTTTCAAATATCATAATCAGATTTCCCACCCTCTTGACACTGTTAAAACGGAGATCAAGGGCCGGCCCGGTGGCGCACTGGAGAGTGCGCTGCTTGGGAGCACGGCGGCGCTCCCGCCGAGGGTTCGGATCCCATGTGGAGACCGGTTCCCGCTCACTGGCTGAGCGTGGTGCGGGCGCGACACCGAGGGTTGCGATCCCGTTACCGGTCAGTAAAAAAAAAAAAAAAAAAAAAAAAAAAAAAAAAAAAAAAAAAAAACAGAGATCGAGTTTCCAACACATGAACATTCAACCCATAGCATGGATGTACCTTTTTATCTTTTATGTTGTATTTTTACTGTACTTTTCCTATGTTCAGATATGTTTAAATACACAAATACCGTCATGCTGTAATTGCCTACAGTGTTCAATACAGTAACATGTTGTACAGGTTTGTAACCTAGGAGCAATAGGCTATGTCATATAGCCTAGGTGTGTAGTAAGCTACAGCATCTAGGCTTGTGAAAGTACATTCTGTGATGTTTGCACAATGATGAAATTGCCTCACATGCATTTCTCAGAACCTATCCCCATTGTTATGTGACACATGACTACATATACAAATAACCTATACAACCACTCTGCTCAATTGCACTAAGTAGATAAAGTACAGGGTGCTAGCCTAGCCAAGAGGGCTCACAAGATCTAGTCCTTTCTTTTTGGCTTTATATCTCTGTTCTCTTCAACTAAACTTGGTTTTTTCCTCTTACCCAGCATATTCTTCTCTTTTAAGCCACCACACTTTCATTCAAGCTCCACATACTGCCCAACACCAGCCCCAGTGTAGGCAGGCTACCGGCATTCGGCCACTAAATGTGTATTAGTGTTAGAATATACTGAGCATGACAAAATGACCGTCAAAACTACAGCTTAAAACCAAGGGAATTTTTATTTCCCTCCCTCAAAATAATATAGGTCAAAGGCCAGGAAGGCTCCAGAATCTTCAGTGACCTGGGTTTCTTCTATTTTGTTGCTCTGCTATCTTCCACAAGCAGTCTCCAGCCCATTCAATCTTGACTTCCCAAGAACAACACATAATTCTTGACAAGGCAGAGAACTAGAGAGTCCAAAGTAAAAGAAATGATTTCCACATCCTAAGTAAGCTCCAAGGTGCTTTTTCACTTTTCACCTTCACTTGGAGTTAACAGTTCTACCTGTGCTCCACTAGATGGCAGCACGTACACATATAGAGTGTGTGGACGGTGAGACTTCTTTTTAAAAACTGAAGGAAGCTGAATTAGCAAGCGTTGAAGGGAAGCTGAACTACATATCCCAGCATGCCTTAAAAAGCACTTGACTTGCTCCTGCACAAAGGTCTCAAGTTTGTTACTCCTGCAAAGATCGGGAGGAGGCCATCCACTCGCCGCTTTAAAGTAAGATTTCCTAATAGTTTTTAAATGAACTTTTGGACTGGGGAGAGGGGAGGTTCTTCACATCGCCTATTTCAAGATTAGTCTTAGCAATTAGATCAGGATAAGGGTGGGTTTTTGACGAATCCCTGGCATATTTATAAGTTTTTCAAAGTAGCCAAAGAAAAGGATTTTTACCATGTCTGTCTTAAGTGAACATTTTCCTTCCTGTATCCTAAAAACATTTAGAATGCCTGAAAATGGCTCTGTTTGTGTCTCTGCTAATAAAAAAAAAAAAAATTAACATTTTGATTCCTGTGTTTAGAGAAAGAAAACCAACATGCCCAGTTTTCACGTAAGATTCATTGAGAGTTGCTTTGTTTTACCATTTCTGGCTACGTTTGTATTCATTTTTCCAAAGAAATCCATTTTAGTTTGAGAATGCAGTTTATCTGTATTAAGGCTTTGGCGTCGAAATCTGGCCCCAGAAAGGCAGGGTGGCCAGCGAGGGGAAGGTTTTCAGAGTAAGCAAAAAGGCTGCTCTGTGGTTCACTAAGTGCTTCTGGGGCATCAGACATTACTAAAGAAACCTCTGACCTGTGCCTTCACAGTACCATGCACTGACGTCACTAATAACAGTGCTGTGAAATAATTGTTTTTTATTTAATACACCGTGCTCAGGATTGGAGGAGGTGACTATGATTGCAGTCTCTAAAGTATGTATTGAATTTCTCTTAACTCTTTCCATGTTTAAAATGCAGTTTTAGGGGCCAGCCTGGTGGCGCACTGCTACAGTGCGCCGCTTGGGGGCGCGGCGGCGCTCCCGCCGAGGGTTCGGATCCCACATACAGACCGGTTCCCGCTCACTGGCTGAGCGAGGTGCGGGCGCAGCACCGAGGGTTGCGATCCCGTTGCCGGTCCCGGTCTGGTACGGGTGCGACACTGAGGGTTGCAATCTGTTGCCGGTCACGAAAAAAGACAAAAAGGAAAAAAAAAATGCAGTTTTATCTCTCATGTAAGAAGGAAAAAAACAGTAAAAATTCCTTGCATCAGAGTAGGTTAGGCACTGTGAGAGCCTAGCTTCTCCATCGCCTAACATGCGGACATAATCAGAGAACATCAGCGAGTTATGAGCTGGTCCCTGGGGCCTGTTCTTACAACATGGTTGTGTTAGTCTGGTCCTTCGAGAAGCAGACTCCAAGAGAGAGTTAAATATGCACAGATTTTATTTGGGTTAATGCTGGTATGAGTGAAAATGAGGAGGGAACTAGGGAAGGCTGAGAGAGACAGCAGACCACAATGAAAGTCCACCCACAAGGGAAGAAGAGAGGGAAGCCAGGTGGGGGAAGCTCCTAGGCTTCAGTGCAGGTGCAGGCAAGCTGCAGCAAGGCCTTTCAGGGGCATCTCCAGTCAAAGTTGGCTGTGGGGGAGGAGCTCTGTGTCTCCCAGAAATGGGCCTGCTTTAGTCACTGTGCCCACCCAGGCACTGGCTTGGAATGGCCCTGGGAAGGTGACCTCAGCACAAATTCAGAGACGCAGCAGTTGCTGTGCCTCCAGGTCAATTACTTCAGTAGCCCAGGGGCTGCAAGGCCCAGGGGATTTAGAGAAGTCTACTAGGCATTAGAGAACCGTGATAACGAGATAATGCTGTGAGCCAAGAAATCTTCTCTTGGACCTGCAATCAGAAGGCCTAAGCTTGAATTCGTAGCTGTGAAACACTGAGCAAACCACTCATCTATGAAATTAGCCCACTGGTGACGAGGCCCTGCCTGTTCTTTTGTAAACACTTCTCTAATCCTCCCAGTCTCCCTGACCCTGCTAGTTCACCAACACCTCTCCTAGATGAGCTCCCGTGCCTGCCCAGGTCTGCTGTCTACACACAGTGATCTTTCTAAAATATGCGTCTGGTCATGTCACTCCCTGTACATAAATCCGTCAATGCCCATTGCTATAGGAGTAACTAGCCCTTCAGTATGTGGAGTTTGGCCCAAGGTGTCGAGGCTTGACAGGGAAGAGCACACTGGGTACAGGAAAAAAAAAAAAGTTTGGCTGACAAGAATGCAGATAATTTCACAAAGAAAGGACACGATAATGTGAGCCCTCTAGGCAAAGTTAGTAACCTGTACTTTATCAGGCAGGTAACTGACCAGAGTGATTGTGCCAGTTAGTTGTGCATGTCCTAGAAGTTGGTTCGCTAATACTCAACCAGCTCACACACACCCCTCTCCCGCTTTTCACTTTATAAAGGCTGGACAATAAAGTTCTCACATCCCTAGCCTCCTTTGATACTAGGGGCAGCCAAGTAGCAGAGATCTGGCCAGTGCAATGTAGGGAATTTCTGAGGAGGGCTCCCTTCTTCAATGGAAAGGTGAGGCTTCTTTGAAAGGCTTTTGGTGTTTGCTCCTCCTTTCTTTTTGCCTAGAATGGGAACATGAAGACTTGGGACATAGCAGCTACTTTGTGATATGGTATTAGGCCAGAGTCACACATCAAGGACAGAGCAGAGTAAGAGAGGGAAGCTGGTTCCTTGGAGACAGCCTCATTTGATGTCATGTGACTCCACCACCCCCAGCCTCATGGCCAGCCAGTTCTCTCACCCTGCAAACCACAATCCAAGCATTGGCCAAATATCTCATGCCATCTTATTTCCCTGTATCAGAGTTTCTCAATCCACCCTTTTAGAAATACTGATTATATCTGTTAAAGTGTTACCACTGCATGCTTAAACTTTAAAAGACGATCAGCAGTATTGTGAGTTGAAATGTTTACATAGCAAAAGAGTCCGGAAGCCTAAGTTTAGTTTTGGCTCTGCCATTGACTGGCTCTGTGACCTTGGACAGGTCTGATCAGTTTCTTTATCTGTAAAATAGGGATATTGGACATAATTTAATTTTCCAGTCCTTTTTTCAATGTCTCTCTGAGGGCAACTATGAAATCTTTTCAAGGGAAAAGGAAAAACAGTAAGTAGTGGACAGTGCAACGCACAACAGAAGTTTATGGAAGAGAAATCAGGAAGCAGCCCCAAGTAGTGAGGACACAATGCCATAGTGCTGTGTGCAGGGACAGTGGGGAGGATGGTGGCAAGGACTCCACACTTGCTGTCTCTGCCACAGAGGCTGTCCTCTCCAGGTACTGAAGGAAGAGAATGGTAGGTTGAAGTTCAGTGTCTGTCTCCAGTCACCGGTTCAGTGGGTTGTATTAAATGTTTTTGATCCACAAAGCTACGTGTCTAGAGTAAGCATTCTTAGAGAATTCAGATGGTGGAACTATTTGTACAGAGGTGCTGTCTTCAGGTCTCAAAGGAGCACACTGAACCACTCATTCTAAATATTCCTGTCTGCACAAGACTGTGTGCTACAGTGTAAGTTATTAAATATACCTGTCTTTAGGTTACACTGCAGGTTCCATGATGGGTCGACTTGATGGGAAAGTCATCGTCCTGACGGCCGCTGCTCAGGGGATTGGCCAGGCAGCTGCCTTGGCAAGTTATTATCTTTTGTTGTTTACTTACTAACTTTTGAGGTATTAAATTATGTAGGCTGATTCCATGATTATTTAATTCTGCTCTACTTTTTTTTTTAAAAATTGACTTTTGTGCTTCTGTTTTCTTAAGTTACCAAAAAAAAAAAAAAAGTCACTACTACTGACGCCAAGCAGATGAAGGAATGAATACCTCCTATGTTTATCATTTGACATCACTGGTAACCTTTGACTCTGAGAAACTTATTTCTCTGCCTGTTTCTCTATACCATAGTAAATCTACTGCAGGGGCCCTACAGGAGTATATAGGTTTTTGAAATTATGTCAATTCAGATTTAGGACTCTGGAGGTATGACTGTCAGGTTAACTTTGTCTTCTGATTTATATCAGCTTCTCCCACATTATACCCCCCACCTCAGCTAATAATGCACCTTAAGTATAATGGTAGGGTAAAGTTTGGCATTTATGAAAGCACTAGTATATTTTTTTCTCTTATCGTTTGGAGTTTAGTCACCTGCTACATTTAGTCACCTGTTTTGCAGTACTTTGAGAAATGTTAAAAACAATTATAGGTTTTTAAAAGCACTATTTTGTTTATTATTACTTAAAGGGCAAAGTCAAATGATAAGCACAATGTATGTCACATTGTTCTAATTAATGATAAAAAATAAATAAAATAATAACAATGGGGACGGTGAGGTGAGACTAGATAATTTGAAATTCCACCTATTTAAAAGGAAAGACAACAATAAAAATAAAATAAAGGGAAAAAAGGCCAAATGACTTTCCATTGATGAGAGCAGTTTAATCAAGTAAACAAAGGATTTACTTGTACTTTGTGTCTACCAGGCTTTTGCAAGAGAAGGTGCTAAAGTCATAGCCACAGATATTAATGAGTCCAAACTTCAGGAACTGGAAAAGTACCCAGGTAAGCAACTCAGCAGCTTGAATCCGGGCTTCAGAGTCTGCAAGGTATTATAAAGCAATGATACTCATATGTTGAAAGAATATTCCTTGCTGCTCAGCTCCACTGGCCTTCTTTGTAGATTCAGATTCTCTGATATATATATATTCTGTGAACCTACATACAAAACTCTGTATACTTAAATGTATAAAGAAATTTGAAGGTGTATACTTAGAATTTCTTATTTACCTACCATATTGAGAGATTGAGTTCCTAGTCACCAAGTTACGTGTGAATTTTTTTTTTTTTGATCCACAGGTACCTGGCAGGTAAGGGGATCCAAATCCTTCATGTTATAAGGCTGTGCTCTAACCAACTGAGCTAACCGGCCAGCCCCACTATATGTGAAATTTTAACATTATTATGTTAACTTTTGATGACAACTTTTCACTTCTGTGCCCCCCCTCCTTTAGGCTAGCACTGTCCAATAGTAACATGAAGTGAGCCACATGTGTAATTTAAAATTTTCCAGTAGACACATTAAAAAAGTAAAGAGAAACAGTGGAAAATTAATTTTAAAATATATTTTATTTAGCCCAATTTATCTAAAATATTATCATTGCAACATGTACTCTAAAACATTATTAATGGAATATTTTACATTCTTTTTCATACTAAATTTTTTTACTTAAACTATTAAACCTTATTACAAACTTCAATCATTTTCTTTTTTCAGCTTTATTGAGGTATAATAGACAAATAAAAATCGTATATAATCAAAATGTTCAACATTATGTTTTGAAATACATTGTGAAATGATCACCATAGTTGAGCTAATGAACATGTCCATTACCTCATATAATTACCTCCACATGTGTGTGTGTGTGTGTGTGCGTGTGTGTGTGTGTGTGTGTGTGTGTGGTAAGAATACTTAAGGTCTTAGCAAATTACAAGTATACAACACATTATTATTAACTGTATTATTAACTGTGCTGTGTACATCAGTTCTTCAGAACTTAATCGTCTTATAACAGCAAGATTGGACCCTTTGACCAACATCTCAACATTTTCATACTAAATCTTTGAAATCCACATGTATGTACACTTACAGCTCATTTTAGCCCAGACTAACTGTATTTCAAGTGCTCAATAGCCACATCTGGCTAGTGGAGACATCTCAGCCCTAAAATTATATATCCTGATGGGAAACCCTAAGAGATTACTGTATTTGTCTGTTTCTGTTGCTTATAACAAAATACATAGAACTGGGTAAATGAAATTTATTGCTTACAGTTTCAGAGGCTAGAAGTCCAAAGTCCAGGGATCACATCTGGTGAAGGCTTTCTTTGGTGGTGTCTTCAGTAACAGCAGGGTATCACATTGTGAAATGGCGGAACAGAGAGAGCAGAGACTAACCTCCTCATTCACTTTCTTTTTAATGCCCTCCAAATCATACACATGACCACCATTTTTAATCCATTCATTATGGCATGGTCCTATAATCTAATCACCTCTTCTAGGCCCCACCTTTCCGTTACCGTAATAGGATTTTCCACCCTCAACAATTACAGTGGGAATTAAGTTTTGGGGAGACATTTGACCCAAAGCAATTACCCAGACTATTTAGGTGTGCACCACCACTTTCTGCACCACACTGAACCTAACTCCAGCATCAAAGGACTTCAATTACAGTTCCCCTCAAAGAGGTCAAAACAGAGAATTCATGTGAAAGTTAATTCCTCTGGGGCTGTCCAGTTAGCTCAGTTGGTTAGAGCACAGCCTTATAACAACAAGGTCGTGGGTTTGGATCCCCATACCGCCCTGCCGCCAAAAAAACACCAAAGCTTTTTCAGCAAAATAGAACAGATTATATAATCAGACATGCATTACAGTAGTTCCCTGAATTGGTTAACTGGAAGAAAATTATAGTTCCAAGTCAAAGTAAACATGCTGTAATAGAAAAAGCACAAAGGAAGAAAGTCTTTCTGAAACAAAATTTCACTCTTTCCTTTCTTTGTTTATTAATGTTTTCTTTCTATACCCAAAAAATAATAATAAAATAAACCATATTTTTAAAAAAAAAACATAAATGCTGCTTTTATTAGAGGATGTTCAGGGTTTTTTTAGTAACTTAGTACAGTGTGTCTGTCTCAGACCCCATGCTAGATTTCTCACATCTAGCCTTCAAGTGTTTCATCCCTTTCTGTGACCCCCTCATTCTTTCTCTTTGCAATTTAGTATAGAAATAAGTGATGATACCCTTGACTAACAGTTATTTCTAATAAAAAAATGGAAATGACATAAAGGTGAGGCTCACAAATACAGTCTCTTGTCCTATAACTCCTGCCCTTCCCCACCCCTCACTCAGACAGGATACAGCATTTCTGTACAAGCAGCTCAATCTCTGGGTCAAAGAATGGGCTAAAAAGAGCCCAGTTGTAGTTATTACCACTGACTTACTGAGACACACTTAATGTAGATCAGTCTTACTTCACTGTAAAGTCATTATTCTGAAAGAACCCTGATTATTCAATTTAGAAAACAGAAAGAAGGACTGGCTGGTTAGCTCACTTGGTAATGCCAAGGTCATGGGTTCAGATCCCCATACAGGCCGGCCGCCGAAAAACAAACAAAAAGAAAATGGAGAAAGAGGGAGGGAGTGGGATGTGGGATCAAGATGGGACTTTAAATGTTTGCTAATGAGATTCTTAAGGCCCTAGTAATGGTCAGTGATCCTCTGAAGACTAACTAGATAGATGTCGCGGTCCTCACACTTCACACTTCCATACAGCTAAGTCTTCCAGGCTAAACATTTTGTACGATTATAGGTAAATTGTGTCTTTTGTTTTATTTTTCAGGTATTCAAACTCGTGTCCTTGATGTGACAAAGAAGAAACAAATTGATCAGTTTGCCGATGAAGTTGAGAGACTTGATGTTCTCTTTAATGTTGCTGGGTAATTCATAATTTTTTCATTTCACTTTCCTTAAAGAAAGTTTTCTATGACTTTACTAAAAGAATTTTGATAATATGGAAAAATTGTTCATTGTGAATCATGATATATTCCTTGGGAAGTATGGCTAGATTTCAGACACCATTGTTGTCACACGTAAGATTCAGCAAGTAAGACAGCCATAGAGGTTGACATGGATTTAACCTAAAGGCAGTTAAAGTCTACTCAAGATAACTGGTAATGATACAAAGCTGTATCGTGTGTGCAGTATATGAAAATTAAGGCAATAATTTCTGATGATCTATTTTATATATAATCTCATCCTCACATAAGAATATGCCCAGAGACCTCAAAAAAAGTTAGGAAAGTTAGTTTTTGATCATCTGTTAAATTTTCAGCAATACACGAAATGTAGAGATATAGTATGTGGTCCTGTCAGGAAACTGATATTCCTTTCGAGCTGGAAGTACTGTGGTAAATGGGAATCACAACCAACCATATTTTATAATTAGTTACATAATTTTGCTCCAGAGGATCAAATCAGTAAGGACTCCGGGAAGTGTGACTTGAAAAAGAATGAAGGTTATTTTAAGGGCTTTGTTTTCTTCTGCCTTATTTACTTAGTATGTTGGAACTGTACAGTAGCAATACAACCTTAGTACCCTGAGATGTTGAGACACTTGTTTTCCTTGCAATTTTGATTTCCCTTGAGAATGCTCAATCTGTGCCACCTGTGGGCACTGTCGCTCTTGAAACAGGAGTCAAGTAGGACAGATGTCCTGTTCTCATTTATTTGTTTGTTGTGAATGGCATTGATGTTTCCAGTGCAGTTGGTATAGAGCTTCTTATGTTTAGTGTTCCAAATTCTTGCTTTCTTCCTTTAGAAGAAGGGTGTTGTTTTCAGATGAATATTCTAGCTTAAGTTGCTGGCATTCTTACTGATCTAATGTACTAAATGATACTATGTTTGAATAGTCTGAAGTCTTGAAGAGAGAAAGAAACATGGTCTAAGTAAATAAGTGACAATAGAAATGACCAGCAAACAGAATAAAAATTTTTTAATGGCAGTTTTTTTCTCCACTGTTTAATCACTCCTCCAGTTTTGTTCATCATGGAACTGTCCTGGACTGTGAGGAGAAAGACTGGGACTTCTCAATGAATCTCAATGTCCGCAGCATGTACCTGATGATCAAGGCCTTCCTTCCTAAAGTAAGATGACCACCACTGCCAGGATAAGCACCACATTAGGCCTCCGTCCTGGGCACCCAGAAAGAATCCTCACATGTGCTGAAGAGTGATGGTAGCTAACACAAAATGATGAACATGCACTGAACATTTATATCAAGGCATTTAATATAAATTAATTCATCCAACCTTCCAGTTTATCCATTCAAGGAGTGCTTATTGAGCACTTTCTACATGCCAGGTTCCATTCTTGACACACAAAACACATCAGTGAACTAAACTAAGTCCCTTCTGTAAGGTAGATCCTATTATTGAGGGGCGAGACAGGATAATCAGCAATCAAATAGACATATAATATGCAGGGCGGTTATAAGTACTGAAGAAAAAGAAACTAGGATATCAGTGAAGCCCTGCTGCACCTCACTGATGAGATGAACTTTTCATAGAGGTTCAAGTGAAGTGAGGAGCTAGCCATTTGGATACCTGGGGTGAGGGTTCCAGGCAGAGGGACCAGCAAGGAAGCAAGCAGGACTGGAACAGTCCTGAGGTAGCTACTATTTTATCACATCCACTGTACACAGGATGAAACTGAGAAGTTAGATAACTTGCCCAAGTTCACACAACTAGCAAGTGGTTAGAACCAAGATTCGAAACCTGGAAGTTTATTTAGCCCCTTCTCGAATCTCTCAAAATCCATGTTCCCCATTGCTTTTCTCTACCTTGGATATTCTCCTTTCACTCCTGTTTTTTTACACAGAGGTACTGGACAGATGAGAGACCATGTGTGCTAAAGAGAGCTTTCCTCCTAGGTCTAAGCCTTCACACAACTCATTGATGTTTTTAATCGTATTATACAAATAAGCATTCAGCGCCTTTTGGTATGAAGCACTATCCAAAGTGCTCTAGGGGGTATAAATATGTGAAACATATAGCCCTGACTTGGAATTAGCTTACAAGCCAGTACAGCAGACAGCACAGGCTCAAACAATAGAAAGGGTTGACTGAGTACAGGACCACCTCAGCTCGAGGCTGTAAATTGAACTGTAGTGAAATGCAAAGAGCCCTTTTCCCTTCCATTAAACCTGGATCGAGTGGCCCACGGTACTGAATGCTGTACAGCCCAGGGCAGGGAGAGGGCTTTGTTCATGGCACAGAAGGGCTGATACTTTGCTCTGAATATTCAACCTGATGTCAAGACGTATCCAGAGGAAATTTTAAAGGAAAAATTAGAGACATTGACTTAGTAATAAGGGAAGGTTTTCAAATCTGCTTGTCTAGTGCCTAGAAAGCATCTTTGGGTGGGCTCATGGAATGTTGAACTAGCAAATGTTCTTAAAATGTAAGTTGCCTTTTTTACCTATTTGAAGTTTATGAGAATCTGTGTCACTTGAAACCTGAATGTATTTTTTGAAAACAAATCCTTAGCATAGGATGTGGGAGTGGAACAGAGGCTGCAGTAAAAGGGAAAGCTTAGGTCACAATGGGTAAGACTGCTGCATTTGTATGAGACTCATTTGCAAAAGCAGCCTAATTCATGTCTTTACAGATATTAGTTAAGGAAGTAGATGTGGGGTACAGTGGAGCTGAAATTTAAGCTTGTAAATAATGCTAACTTTTAAAATATGCAAATGCTAATTTGCAAATTAGTGATCTGCCAGTAGTTTAAAACCTCTTAACAATGGTCCATATGAGCCAATAGCACATATGTAAAAAATCCCGAGAGATATTAATGACTGAGATGTGGGATCAGAAAGATTCAGTGTCACTTGTTTAGTGAACTACACTGACCAACTTGACTTCTGGTGTTGGACACTGACATCAGAAGTCTTTAGGCACAGTCTGAGCTCTGCTCCTAACTAGCCATGTGCCTGGGGAGATGGCAGTTGCACCCTCTCAGTGTCTGTTTCTGCTATCTGCAGAGCAAATAAGGGTGACAGATTGCACAATCGCTTCCAGCCCTAATTGTCTAGGATCCTCTGTATCATTAACTGTGACACACATTTACCAAGTTAGAACTTTCCAGGGGAAGCTAGGATATGTAGTCTAGTCGGATCTGGAAGGTCAGATGGTCAAAACACAGGAACACTTGTAGGAAATTTTTGTTCATGGATAGAAACAAAGAAAACCATTCTAAGAGAAAGATCAGCCAAAAGGCAGAAAGCAAGTTAAAAATATCTAAGAAGAAGTCAATGCAGGATCCAAGTTCTACTAGAAGAGAAGATTCATTAGGGCAAAGATTTGGGGATAGTTTTGTTATTTGGGATTGTTTGTTTGTTTGCTTTTTCCCCTTGCTGTATCTTGGAAGAATCCCTAGCACATAGTAGTGCTCAGCAAATATTTGTTGAATGAATAAAGAAATCAAGGTTATCAATCCAGGCAGAAGCTAGGCATTGAACCACCAGAGACCCAAGTGGCCAAGGTCTGCCAAGGTTAGGAGCTAAGCTCTGGCCAGTCAGGACAGAAGGGCTGGGTCTGAGTAAAATTAACTAGAAACAGCTAGAGGGACTCTTCAGGGATCTTTCTAACCTCCACTTGAGTTTCTGGGAGATCAATCCTATATAGCATTCCTATTTACCAGGCACTTCACTTGATAGTCATACTTGCCAGAGAGGACTTGTTGCATGGGGAGCCAAGAAGAGCATAGGGCATGACATGTCATTATACGATGACAGCAGGCACTGAGCTGGTGTTGGGAAGGCAGTGGGAAGAAGGTAAGGACTATGGGTGCTAGAATCAGCAGAAGGACCTGGGTTGAATGGATAGTATGAGTGTTAGGGGACAGCGTCTCCTAGGTGACTATATTCTAAGGTTTTGCTTGAGGAATTATTGAATTTCAGAGGACTGCAGACTAAACCTACTGAACAGTCCATCTTTATATATTAAATTGGGTGATATGTATTCTATATGTATTAAAAGTGGGTTATGTTATTTCCTAAGCTGAATGATAAAGAAAAACATCAAGCCTTAGTTTTTTTTTGTTTTTTTTTGTTTTTTTTAAAGATGACCGGTAAGGGGATCTTAACCCTTGACTTGGTGTTGTCAGCACCACGCCCAACTTGGTGTTGTCAGCACCACGCCCAACTTGGTGTTGTCAGCACCACGCCCAACTTGGTGTTGTCAGCACCACGCCCAACTTGGTGTTGTCAGCACCACGCCCAACTTGGTGTTGTCAGCACTACGCCCAGCCAGTGAGCAAACCGGCCATCCCTATATGGGATCCGACCCCGGGGCCTTGGTGTTATCAGCACCACACTCTCCCGAGTGAGCCACCGGGCCGGCCCCAAGCCTTAGTTTTCAACACTGTTTTACTTTACTAACATTCTGGTATCTTTTATGAGAACCCCGTTTCATTTATGTCCTTTATTATGTAGAAAAAGACAGTTGAGTTAAATATTATTTTTCCCCTGCTGTCTTCCTTGGCTTGGTTGTGTCTCAGCCTCTCCTTATATCCTTTCAGTCCATTCAACACAATGCTTTGGGGTTATTTTAGACTCTGCTCTTAGCTATAATTAGTGGCTAAGTATCAAAATAAAAAGTAAGTAGAAAACCATAAAGAAACATGTCGTCTCTGCCACCCCAGCTCTGGACCCATCTGATCATTCACCTTCCCCTGTCCTATACCTCTTTTTCTGGAAGCTGCTGAAGACACTCATCCCAACAGCAGTGATTTTTTTCTCTAGACACTTTACACTGCCTGTTGAGACTCCTTCCTTTTAGAAACCCTTTCTTTACTTCATGTTCATGACGTGACATATCTTGGGCTTCCTTCTTCTGTTCTCTAGTTTGTGTTCTTCCATTCCCTCCAGCAGTTATTGTAACTCTTCACTGGGCTCTTGTACTCCCCGTCCCCCACCCTGTTCTTTATGGTCATCTGCCAATGAGCGCACTGAGAATTTAGTGCCCCGTAGCCAGGAGTTCTCTCAACTTCCTGCTTCTTTCCCCAAAACATTCGGAGTGCCCATGCCCTTGCACATACTTATATTATCTTACAAACATATATACATGTTATAATTAATAAAATATCAGTTCATTTGAAAATGTTTTTTAATTCGTAGCTGCTTTTTTCATTACATATTCACGTAGGTCTGGGGCAGGACCCAGCAATCTGCATTTTGAAGTAGCATTTCAGGAGATTCTGATTCATCAGAATTTATGACTGCCTACTGTCTACACTGTTTAGGAGGATAAAGAAAAGCTGAAGACCCCCCTATTAATAAATTCACAGTTTAGTGGGGGAATGCTGAGGGAGGTGTCCTTAGGAAACATGATCTTAAAATGGATGAGACTCTTCCTTCCTGCAAGTAACCAGTTACCAAGTCTTGCCCATCCTGCCTCAGCAGTCTCCACACTGTTACCCACAGACATTTCTGTGGCTCCTAAATCACTGCATCAGCTCCTTGCTGGTCTCCTTTGTATAGCATCAGAGTAATCCTTGTAATCTCCAAATCGGACCATGCCACTCCTCTTCTGCATTAAACCCTTCGGTGTCACCACATTGCCTTCAGGGTAAAACCCAAGTTCCTTAATTGAGCCCCTGTTGATCTCTGTAGCCTCATTCCTGCCATGCCCTTCATTCCAGACAGACTCATCCCCTCCTCCTAGCCCCCCATGGAGCCTTTATACATGTGGCATTCTCTCCTGGAAACACCCTTTTCTTTTATTTTTCTGACTAACTGTAGTTTTCAAAATTCAGCCCGCATGCTTTCTCCTCAAGAGCTCCCTCTGAGTGTCTTGAAGTCTGGATTGCTCTCTTCTTGCCCCTGCCCTCCCATTACATCTCTGTGGAACTTTCTGCTGTCACTTGATGCTGGTTATGTCAGCTACTCCAATCAGACCGACTGCTCCCCTCAGGCAGGGATTGTGACCTTTAACGTTGAATCTCCTGGACCTAGCACAATACCTGACCACAGCAGGTATTCAACAAATATGTGTGGAGTGGAGTAATATTTTCCCAAGGGCAGAAACACACAGTAATGAGTAACATTCATTCTCATTCCATTTAGCTCAGAATTCATTTTCGTGGTCTTGCTGATGTTCTTGTCCCATGGGAGGGTGGCAATCCCCCTGGGAAATGCCAGTAGCTCTGTATACATGCCGTCAATTCCCAGCAACACTGGGTGAGATCTTGTGGGTTCACTGTTAAGACTGCTTGGCAGTGCTTAACGTTAATAGCTAATAAGATGATCAAATTAGTTCTGCAAACCATAAGTAAATGCAAATCTTCTAAAGAGATAGTATTTCTAGCCTACAGAGTGGAAATGTTTTTGAATTTGGATTTGTTTTGGCAGATGCTTGCTCAGAAATCTGGCAACATTATCAACATGTCCTCTGTGGCTTCCAGCATCAAAGGTAGGTTTAGCTCCCTCTGGGGATCGTAATACTCATAGGCACACTCCCTCAAGAGCTATGGGTTTGGGGAACAAGCATAGCAGAGCTCATAAAACCTACACATAATTTCAAAACTGTATTTTTCTAAAACAATTGGTAGTGAGTTTCTTAGCCATCAGACCTTTTGCCGTCAATGTGAGCCAGTAGTAAAATTAAATAAAAAATTGTTTTCTTTGCCTTCCTTTTCATTCTTTCTAATGGGTATGGAAATGAATATTGAGCTGGAGAAGAAAAGATTTGTCGTTTAGTCAAGAATGATGTGCTGTGCCCCTGTGCACAAAAGAATTCACAGTCCCAAGGGAGAGTGAGGCAGACACACATGCATCTTCTACAGTGTGAGTGTATTATGACAGAGGCATGTACAAAGTGCTGTCACAGCACGGGCAGTAACTGCTTGTGGGTTTGGGGGATGTGTCGGGTGTGTCGCTGGCCGACCCGTACAGCCCTAGCCTCGTTCCTTCTGGTGGGCGAGCAAACGGCCCGGGATTCCTCTTTCCCTCCTGTCCCCTTTGGAAGGAGACGGGGAAAGAGAGCCGTGAAGAGAGGTGAGCACACCGCCGGTCCCCCAAACAGCCCCATTAAAGGACACTCAGACGCGGGGGTTCTGTCAAGCAGTTCCATTTATTATCACACAAGCACTTGCTTTTATAGGCAGATAGGGAGGGGAGGTTTTAACATAATCCAATCAGCTTCAAGGGCATGCATCCTGTCTCAATGCCTAGCTATTGTGTTCAGGAGCACAGAAGCACGTATTTGGCCAATAAGGGCTTAGGCAAGGTTCCCGCAGACACCCCCACCCTACTTCCTCCCGTTGCAGTCTTAGGCTGCCACATTAATACGCCCTTGTGGGCCCATAATGGCGCCGCTTGTAATGTCACTTAAGGTGGCGTTAGTTTTTAAGGCCCAACAGGAATGCTTCACAAATATAATTGACCTGGGCCATGAATGAGAAGTCAAGATGAAGGGCTAGGATAGCAGTGCAACATGTAGATAAGGTCATGATCTGGCACAGATGGATCTGTGAGTTTAAAATGAAATAGCTACTGCTGAGATAACATTCCTTCTCTTTGCAAGGATACACACAGTAAGCACACACAAGAGAGGAATATGAAGTGCCTAGGCCTCTTGTTTTATTGTTTGTTTTTTTGTTTTGTTTTGTTTTGTTTCTTTACCCTTATTTTCTTTCGGAAGCTGCCTAAAGGTTATACCTACTAATGATGAGCAACTTAAGACTACTGCTGCTAGGGCCGGCCTGGTGGCGCACTGCTACAGTGCGCCGCTTGGGAAGCGTGGTGGTGCTCCCGCCGAGGGTTCGGATCCCACATACAGACCAGCCGCTCACTGGCTGAGCGAGGTGCAGGAGCAACACCGAGGGTTGCGATCCCGTTGCCGGTCCCGGTCCGGTACGGGCGCGACACTGAGGGTTGCGATCCATTGCCAGTCACGTAAAAAGACAAAAAGGAAAAAAAAAAAAAAAGACTACTGCTGCTAAATAAGTGCAGCATCTCAACACCTAAGTCTCAACTAAATTGTGCCTATATTGATATTATTTTTCTAGATTCAGACACTTGCCCTATTAAAGGAGAAAACCTGATATTAATTTTTTCTAAAAGGGGAGGAAGCATGAAAGTGGCTACTGGGGAAACACATTTGTGGTCCCTTTCTAAGGAAACTATGTTTCTGAGTCCTTTGATTTTTAAACCTTGCCTTTACCCTCAGGAGTTGTGAACAGATGTGTGTACAGCACAACCAAAGCAGCTGTGATTGGCCTCACGAAGTCTGTGGCTGCAGACTTCATCCAGCAGGGGATCAGGTGCAACTGTGTGTGTCCGGGTGAGTTAGGCACTATAAGGCCGTAAATTTGTCCTTCAGAGATCACGTTTGTCACTGTGATAGATTTCTTTATATAAGCTTTTTTTTTTTTTTTTTTTTACCACACATAATATTGCATTCTGTCATTGGGAGAAGTTCAAAGGAAAAAGGGTCTGGGCTTATTAAGATAGCAGTCCAGTTGTTAGTTGGGAAAAATCCTAAGGCATTAGGAATGAGCCACAGATACAACAGGTTTAAATGCTACTCGTGTGTGTGGGACAATTTAGAATCAAGTGGCTAAGAGACATAACTGGCCAGGGCTTAGTGTTTTAGAAGCAGATCAGGGATGACCTTGTTAGGGGAAATACATCAGGGGAAAGATGAAAGTAGACCATACTCACAGGACAGCAGGCAGAAAGTAAGGAGAGTCTCCCAGAACACAAGGATCTACTAGAGTCATGTAAATCACCAGGGGTGGCCCATAAATAAAAAGTAGGCATTATCCTTTCTTTATTCTATTAAAAGGGAGCCAGCAAACTATGGCCTGCAGCCAAATGTGACTCACTTCCTGTTTTGTAAGTAAAGTTTTATTGAAACACAGCCAAACCCAATTTGCCTATGTATTGGCTATGGGCTGTTTTCTTGCTGAATAGAGTTGAGTAGTTGCAACACAGCAAATGGCTCTCAAAGCCAAAAATATTTACAATCTGACTCTTTATCAAAAAAGTATGCTGACCCTTCACATAAAGGAAAGAAGAAAAACAGAACTTTCCTTTTCTTAATAACTGTGGGTATGTCTCATTTTTTCATAACTGTGGGTATATCTATTAAATAGGTATGCCCTTTCACCTGGTTCCACCAGCCCAAAATGAATACAAGGTGCCTAATAAAGATTATTATTATTATTATGAAAAGAAATTAAATATTACATATCCAGGATCAAGGTTTCTCTTAGTAGTTCACAGCTGATGTCATGGATTGTGGAGGGGAAGAATTTCACAATTACCTGTGGGGCCTTCCTAAACATGAAGGGCATGCCAGAATTGGGGGAAGAGGTTGACAGGAAGAACTGTGTGTCGTTTGGAAAATCCCACAGGAGATGCTTATTGAATTTCAGGTGGGAAGCAACTGGCTTAAAGAGGGAAAACTACTGAATACCCTTCAAGCTACAGAATTTCAGTGATGAAGATGTTTTGTTTTATTTTTCTTGGAATAGAAATGTAAACATAGGTAACACTAAGAAAACAGAATACAGGAAAGATAGTTTCTCTTGGTTTTGATGCACACACTGGCGATACTTCAGTCTAGCTATTCTTCGTGCCATTTATGCAGTGGAATAAATGGCAAAATGATTTTGGAAAATATGGTTGTTTTAGCAGCTGGACTTTTCAGAAGATTGGAAAATATGTTATCAAACTCTCTGGAACAAGGAACTAGCCGTGACTCACTGAGCCAGTCACAGAAGAAAACCTGAGGAGGACTGAGTGTGTCTGGGATGGTGCTGATGGTTGTATAGTCACAAAGCTCCAGCTGGACTTGTGTAGACTGTGGCACGGTGTGTGAGTCTGTGCCATGGACACAGTAGAGTCCAATGACAATGGAATTAATCTGAAGGCAAGGGCTTGCTCTACGATCTCATTTAGTAGCCGTTTGTACCAGCCATATGTACAATATATTGCTTATTGAGTTCAGTGGGAGAAGCTGTTAAAGCTGTTAGGATTTTGAGGAGAGTTTTAGTGGAAGCTTAAAGAACACATGGTTGGTAAAATTTTGGACTTTGAGGAGGCTATTGATAAGGGAAGGAAAATATTATTAGAAACTGGTTGAAAGGGAATCTTTGTTATGTAGTTTCAGAAAGTTTAACAACATTGTTGCCTGCAGTAATGTGAAGATACAAAGTGCTTCAAACAGGTAAAGGGACACAAAAATCAACTATAATGTATACTGAGAAGTTAAAACAAAAAAAAAATGATAAAAATAAAATTAAAAAAAAAGAAAGTGCTTCAAATTAGCTGGGTGATGTAGCTTAGGTGATTTTCACCCAGAGTGTTGAAAGTTCTGCCTGCTTATAGTAAAATGTCAGAAGAGAGATAAAGAAAAAGCTTCAAAAAGAAGCCATGATTTCTGATTGTGAAGATTGCCAACCTCCCCCCCAAAATGGCAAATGATGCTAAAATTAAGAAATGGTTTCTAAGCAGAGATGAAATCTATGACACTCTCAGGAGCCCAGTCTAAAGATGAACCTCAGGGTTTGACTATACAATTATTTGTAACATCCTCAGAAAGATCACGTAGTTTCCCCAGAGTGCTGTTCAGATTGAAAAAGAAAAGTCCCGTTAAAGAGAATTTACAGATTATATGAAATAACAAAAAAGTGTGGGGAACTTGCTCTACAGGAAAGTGAACTAAATGGGATTTAAGATTTTTTTAGTGTTCTATTTTTCTTGTTTAAAGTAAAATATTCAATAATATTTTTTATTAAAAACTTGAAACAGTGGTTAAAAATAGAAATTTGAAGCCAATAAAAATGCACAAGGTGATAAAGAAAATTTAGAGCCACTTAAATTGCTGAGGATTATGGCAACCGTGGAGTTGTCCCTGAGGATCCCCACAGTGAACTTGACAGCAAAGAATGTTTTTTTGATCACTGAGGCAAACTGGATCCTGGTACTAACAAAGTGCTTGCATGATTTTATCTACATCTCAGGGCTGTTGTGAGGATTAGCTGCCATAATACATGTAAAAGTGCTTAAAATCCATAAAGCATCATATAAATGCAATGTGACTAAATATTGATGAGAATACTGAGTGATTCACCCACAGTCCCTGCCTAGTGTCATGAAGAATCATAGCCTGTGTTTGTAAAAATCATAGAAATGTTACTAAAGAAGTTAGAAGCATACTAAATAAGAGGTCAGGCAGGCAGAGATGAAATTGTTTTAAGTTAAGGAGAAGGATTTCACTGATTGTTGTATCACATGGAAAGGAAATTTAAAATTTAATTATCAATTTCTTTTTCAGTTTAAGTAAGTAACCAAGTTGAATGTCCCCCTTTGATTTAGGCACAGTTGATACTCCATCTCTGCAAGAAAGAATACAAGCCAGACAAAATCCTGATGAGGTATATCCAGCATTTTAAATGTGTTTAAACTTTTTGGTTAAAAAAACGTCTTGTTTTTTACCAAGAGTAGACACTTCCACAGAGACAGAAAGTAAATGGTGGTTGCTAGAGGCTGGGGGGCAGGTGAGGAGGTGGGAAGTTGTTGCTTAACATATAGAGAGTTTTCCTCTTGCAAGATGAAATAGCTCTGGAGATGGATGACGCTGATGGTGGCACGCACAACAATGCGAATGCCCTTAACGCTACTGAACTGTACACTTGAAATGTTGAGGATAAATTTTTATACTATGTGTTTTACCACAATTTTAAAAATGAAAAAAATGAAATGCTCTCATCTTTAATATCAGCTTTCTAACCTGTCACAGTGTCTGTGGGTTTGTGCGTAGCCTAGGTGAGAGAGCCACCATAACCCTGGTTGATGATTCATCAGGACAGCAAGCCAGTACTTCCTCCATAGATTCCTCCTGCCTCTGACCCCTTGCAGGATTACAGGTGAGCACATACGTCAGCTCACATCACTGATGTCTAGTGTGGTCTGTGGTCACAGGCACTGAAAGAGTTCCTGAAGAGACAGAAGACAGGAAGATTTGCAACTGCAGAAGAAATAGCCCTTCTCTGCGTGTATTTGGCTTCTGATGAAGTAAGTACTGTTCTCCAAGAAAGTTCATTATCCTCAGTCCCATTTGATCATGACTTGCTCATCAAAATAATGTCATTTTAAAGAGTTATGGCATATATATGCTAAGATTCTGCATTTACGAGATAGAGATAAGTTCTGATTTAATTTGCTTGTAGAAAGGCCCGTTTGATCTCAGCCACTGACTCTTCCTCATTCAGCTTTACATGTCACAAAATCTTGTAGCAAATGAAATGGATTGAAAACAATTAAAGCCCTCAATTTTCTGGGAGACAATTGCTTTTAAAAATTACCATGGGGGCCGAGCCCGTGGCGCACTCAGGAGAGTGCGGCACTGGGAGTTCAGCAGCGCTCCCGCCGCGGGTTTGGATCCTATATAGGGATGACCGGTGCGCTCACAGCGCTTACTGGCTGAGCGCAGTGCTGACGGTCTCACACACACACACACAAAAATTACCATGGGGTGTGTTGGCCGGTTACCTCAGTTGGTTACAGCATGGTGCTGACAACACCAAGCTCCAGGGTTTGACCCCTGTACTGGTCAGCTGACAAAAAAAAAATTACAATTTGGGAAACTCCGATTAAATGTAAGCCAAATAAATGAACCTTCAGGATTATGAGAGATTCAGGTGAAATAGGGAGAGGGTTAACCAGATTTAATTGTGTTTAGGGGATGAAGAATTGGCACATGGTGTTTTTAAGTTTTACTAGTGACTTGTTTGGGAGGATTCCACTGGCTCTTTTTTCCTATTAATTCTTACTTGTTTGTCATCACGTATGAAAATTCCTAATTCTGTCTCCTCCACTTTGCATCTGTTTAGTACCCAGTTTCTTCCTTAAATAGCTTTTGTATATTTTTATATGGCATACCGCTGAAAAAGCAAAAACTATGTTTATATGGGGTAGAGCACAAGATCCTCCTCCGTTCTGAATACTACATAAACAGGGCACTGCAATGCATGAGAAGAGGGAAGGAAAGGGGAGTAGGTAGGAGTGAGAATGTATGTTACTAATCAGCTAGCTCCTAACTTGGTGCATACCAGGTGGTTGGTGATATGACACATACAGGGGTTGAAATGTTTTAGTGACAGAGCAGTTACCACTTCTCAGAACTATTAACAACAGTTGTTCATAGTTGGGGAAAATGCTAGACAAATTATTAATGGAGCAAGCACATTAGCCCTTGTGATTTCTTTGAATCCGTATCTTCAGAAGAGCTCATTTAATTTAAGAATGCTGCTGATAAGCTACATTATCCTTGTTTAGCCAGAGCTTTGGTTACCAAATTTGAAAATGTTCTGGCTTGAAATGTGAAACAAAAGGACATTTGGCCCAGAGGAGTCCGTATGTAATATCTTTCCTTCCTGCCTCCTCCATTGTTCCCAACTTTAGAAGAATTTAAAACTGAGAACACAAGGGCCTGTCCGTGGCTCACTCGGGAGAGTGTGGTGCTGATAACACCAAGGCCCCGGGTTCGGATCCCATATAGGGATGGCCAGTTCACTCACTTGGAGAGCTTGGTGCTGACAACACCAAGTCAAGGGTTAAGATCCCTTTACTGGTCATCTTTAAATAAATAAATTAAATTAATAAATAAATAAATAAAATAAAATAAAATAAAACCGAGAACACAAATTTGAATCCTTATTATCCATTGTCAGTTAAAAGGTTTTTAAATCTCAAAAAAAAAAAAAAAAAAAAAGGGTTTTAAATTTCTACCAAAAGGATCACTTCAGCTTTAATTCTTTGGAAAATGAGAAATTTGTGGGAATAAACCAGTATTTCTTGTTTTAAAATCCTTTAGTTTTACACAGATTTGGATATCTAAAACTAGTAGAGAATATTTTTTCATAGCTTAATTGATTATAATAATTATTATTATTTATGTAAATTTAAAAAACATTTTAGTACACTTAAGTTTCTGGAATTACCTTTGTATATTGATCAACTAAATATAGGATACCTTTTTTAAAAAATTCTATTTCGTCATTAACATGACCACTTTATTTCTGACACACTTGTGTTCAAAAATTTATTAGTGGTATATAAAATTCAGCTAGTTTTAAATAGTTCTGAGTTTCAAAATGAAAATGTGTTGCCTGCACTTTACCCTAATCTGGGGAATGGCTATACATCACCACTCCTTAATTTTGTGATCTGGGGACCAAACACCTAACAGACTCTGCTTAGAATGTTGCAAGTGCTCAGATGCCAACCAGAGGCCATTTAGCCCTAGATCACAAAAATACTCAGTAGTTCTAAATCATTCAAACTTTAATTTGGATTTTCCTAAATTAAGTTTTTAAGTGAGGTTTTCTGTAGGCACAAGAGTAAATTGTTTAGTTACCAAAGTCATAGAAAAATTTTAAAAGCAGCCTGTGTCAAACCTGGCTAATTTTTCTGTCTCCTGTGTTTATCATGCAGTCTGCCTATGTAACAGGTAACCCTGTCATCATTGATGGAGGCTGGAGCCTGTGATTTCGGGATCTCCTTGGTGGGAAGGAAGGCAGGCTCTTCCTCTCCACAGTGAACCTAGCTGTGAAGAAAACTCACTGATCATCTCTTTCCTATTAATGACTGCTTAATGAAAACAACCCCTTTTTAATAATCACACTGTTCATGAGAGTCTGATTCTTTAAATATATTAATCTCTTTCTGATCTCTTCTGAAATCATTATAAGTAAATGAAATAAAAAATATTAAACTCATTGCAAGAGAATAGTTTTAAAAATAAACTTCAATTTGTAAGCATCGAAGTCAGTTTGGGTTGCTATAGTAAATTACTATAGACTGGGTGGCTTAAACAACAAACATTTTTTTCTCACACTCTGGACACTGGGAGGTGCAAGATCAAGGTGCTAACAGATCAGTGCCTGGTGAGGGCCCACTTCCTGGTTTGCAGATAGTCATCTTCTTACTGTGTCCTCACATAGTAAGAGCAGAGAGAGAAAGCAAGCTCTCCTGTGTCTTTTTATAAGGGCACTAATCCATTCATGAGGGCTTCATCATTATGACCTAATTATCTCCTAAAGGCCTCACATCCTAATATTACCACACTGGGGGTTAGGGTTTCAAAATATGAGTTTTGGGGGGATTAAAACATTCAATCCATAGCAGCATATGAAATTAAATTTCTTCCAATTAATATTTTTTCCAATATTCAAATATTATTGTACAATTCTGCCTTATTTCATATGCAGGTCCTAATTTTAAAATTTTATACCATCATAAATTAACACTAAAAGTAGGAAGGAATTTGGCTTCAATAATTTACAGTAAAAGGAGTTTAGGTTCAGAACTATATTGTTGATCTGTTAGGTTAAAGAAAAGATAATCCAGTGTTTATACTTAATGGATATCATCACTTGTTAATTAAGTACTATTAACTAATTAATAATATTGTCAGTTTGAGGGATTTTTTTTTTTTAGGTTAAGTGCAGATTTCTTCACCAAATTCCAGGATAACAGACAAGAGAACATGAAATTTGGAAATAGTCTATGGATAAATAAATGTAAATGAATTATATAACAGAAAACAAAGTTTAAGAATTTTTTTTTGAGAAAAAGTTCAAGTAAATTTATGGATAGTAATTCCATAACATTGTTAGGGAGAAGTTTTTTCTTTTTATTTTAATTTTAGGGTTTTGTGTTGGTTTTTTATTTGTTGCTACCTCAGAAGACCAAATGGTATGATGCACATAGAGATACTCAATAAATGAGCAGTTATTCTTAGTCTTTTTTCCTAGAAACTTAATATTAACGAAGGAAATTTTGAAATGGACAATGAAAGGATAACATTTTATGTATGACTAAGAATACTATGCAGTTGATGGAGGTGAATTAAAATTTATAGCAAAGGAGATTTTGATTCACATTCCAAAAAAGTCCATTGATTTTAAGATTTGCTCTAGGGTTCTGGACCAGATATTCCATTACCAGATCATGGGTGGCTTGGCTTGTGACCCAGACCATATCACCTAACTTATCTTGGATTTTAGCTTTCTGCTTTATGAAATTAGGGAGTTGGGCTAAATGACTTGGGCTTCTTTTGGTGTATCATAATCAAAATTCTGAAGTTCTTATCTAGTGCATTAATGAAACACTGAAACATAAGTATGTCATGAAATACTTAATGCCGTAAGCAGGTATACATGTTTATGTATAGCCATGAACAAATGAACTCTAAATAAACACATCATAAAGAATTGTACAAAATGGATTCTAACATTAACAAATGCTAAGTTAGTTCTCTTGGAGCTAACCATAAACTATAAAACATTATAAACATTGTAAGCAATAAAAACAGTAAAATCTCACCAAAAATATAATGTTCTCCAAAGTCATGTTAGTCAAATTGGGTGACATATCAATAAAGATCATATGACTGAAAGAAAAGGAAAAATATATTTCATTCTTGTGGTAAGAGGAAGCTGGATGTCACTAGAAATTTTTGCAAGCTTTGGAAGAGGAAGCATTCGTTTTAAAGGATATCGGATGAAACTTAGGTTCTTCAGAAGGGAGGACCTGAGAGACAAGAATGAGTGTTTTCTGTGGTGGAGAAATTTATCTTAGGATAGTCCCTCTTGTCTGAAAAGCAGAGATTAAAATTGGCACTTAAAGGAGAAACAGGTAAGGAACGCACGCGGGCACACACACACACACACACACACACACAGTTGGAGGGGGTAAATATAAAGGGAAGGAAGACACGAAAATAGAAGTGAGAAATGAAAAAGAAGTAAACTTGACGAAAGGGTTAAAATCTAAATACAGCAAGGAGGGCACTTGTTAAAGAAGCGATAAACGGGGGAATGACTTCATCCTGCCATTTAATCGGTCATCTGAAGAAAGAATCCTGTCTTCCCATTGCTCCTGAGAAGACACTTCTTAAAAGTACAACTACAAGGTGGAGTAAAAATAACAGAATGTAGAGGCTGCTTTAGAGAATGATAAAGCAAGCAACTGGCTGCTCGGCCTGCACTCCCGGCTCTCCAAGGGCCGGCGCCGCCTCCTCGCGCGGGGTCTGGCCATCGCCGGGAAGACTGGGTCCCCTCTCCAGGGAGCTTCGCCCGGGGAACGCGCTCGTCCTGTCACCAGGGGCCGGCAGCCGCCCAGCGAGAGCAAGCGACTGGAGGGCCGCGGGAGTCATGCTCTGAGTTCCCGGGAAGTGGGCCCGTGGTCAGCCTGGCGCCACCCGCCCCGGGGGAGCCACGCGGCCCGATGCCAACAGCGCCTCCGGACGCGAAACCCAGCGGTGGCCGCGCAGGGCAGCCGCTGCGGGGCCCAGACCCACCCAGACTTGCTCCCGAGGCCACCCCGGGGCGCCGCGGGCTCAGACCTGCCACGGCGGCGCCGCCCAGCGGGGGTGTGGAGAAGGCGGGGTGTCTCAGCGTGCACCCAGTTATCTGCAATAATTGTAGCCTCGGGCTCCTCCTGGCACGATGCGCCGACCGGGAAACCCAGCGCGCCGCGGCTAGAACAGGCTCCAGCGCCTCCCCGGCAGGCCTTTTAGCCCATTTCCTAATAGATCGGGCGGAGACGAGTCGCCTGCGCGGGAGACCGCCAGGTGAGTAGCCCCGGGAGAACGCTGGGGCGCCCGCGGCGGGAACCTTGCAGGCCTTGTGGGCGCCAGAGACCGGGAGCGAGGGCCCCGCCCTTTCTGGTGGCACACCCAGTGGCGTGCGTGTGTTTACTGTTGTCAGGTGGTGTTGGAGTGCGTTTTTCTTGTTTGCTTTTGTTGTAGTTCTCAAATCAACCGAAGGGTGTTGATTTGTGGACTGGGTTAGGACCCAGTCAGACCCCACTGACTGGAGAATATAACCGCCTGCTGAAAGCGCACGTTGAGGCTGTAGCTTTTTTACTTACCAGGCATTGGCTTATCTCACCCTTGTTATTTCTCCCTAAACTCTGATGTCATTTGGTGGCCCAAAAGATTAATAGCAGGAAGCCACCCTTTCAGTAAATCTCTCAGCAAGAAATTGATACCACCACTGGATAGAGACGGAGCAGATATCTTAGTCAGGTCACCCTCTGTTTTAACCAACTAAAACCCCTTTCCCCACCCCCTCTGTAACGGGGCCTCCACTTGACAGTTATTGCTGCTACACAGCACTCTCACGAAGTTCTGGTTTACTGTTTCTCTCAAAGTCGAGAACGAAACCTTTCAATTCTGCAAATACCTGTGTGTCTTCTTTGTGCCAAGCAGGCATGGGGACAGAAGATACAAATATTAATGAAATACATTTTCTACCATACAGGGTTTTAAATTAGGTGGTTCAGAATGTAACCTAAACGAGTAATTAGGAAATGTGATTCACGCTATACTAACGATGTGAGCAAAGTGACTGATTCACATGGTGTATTTTCTAGCATACAAGTGTCTTTAGAATTATAACGCTGTTGACTACATTTTTGCTATTTTTTAGGACTTCCATAGAAAGCATTATAAAAATAAGTGCACAAGAGTTGGTGACCTAGGTCTAAGTCCTGGGCATATACACAAAGTACATGTGCTGGATGTGGAAGTTGGCACTCACGTCCCTTCCTACCTGCATTCCCACCGGGCTTCTTACCTATACCTTCTTGTACAGCAGAAACTGGAAAGCTAAAAACATTTCCTAGACTCCCTTCTAGCTAGAGCTCTGGATGTAAAATTAGGGTCCAGCAAGTAGATGACTTGCCTGAGATTTTGAAAGCACGGGGAGGCAGAGGCCATCTTCTTGCTATTTTTGGCTGTTTTCTGCTGGCCAGGAAGGTCCAGGAAATGCCAGTGTCCAATCTCCAGGAGCATGGGTGTTGAGAGGCACTTATAACAGCAGGGACAGCCAGACTCAGCATTACCATGTTCAATCACCAGCTCTGTGGCTGTCAAGAGACAGCTAAGGGAGGTGGTGAATATATTCTGTGTTCCCTGTCCAGATAACTTCTAGATTCCAGCTTCTCAGGGTCATAGCTATAGTGGTGTTCTTCAACTCTATAGGCCCTGTAGAGCCTCCTGATTGTGACAAAAATAGTACATTCCTTGATGGTTCAAGTTACTAAGTGTTCTAGAAGTCATCTGTGGGGGCTCAGCCTAGACCATGCAGTTCTAGCCCTTCAACAATCTCGTGAACATTTAATTTTCTATATAAAGTCTCTCTGCTGAAAATACCTGGAGTGGTTTCTGTTTTCAGCATTGACTCCGATTGATATGCTTGCTATGTAGCATCTAAGAGTCATCGAAACCTAATCTCTCAGTTTCTTTAGATAGGAAGTGCAACCACGAGATTGGACCCAGGGGCCTGTGGTGATTTGAGAGCCTTCAGTTGGGTTAGGCTCTCTCCAGTTGCTATAGACATTACCACATTACCATATTACCTATTACCTGCCTGACCCCAAAGGCATTTATTTATTACCCATAGACTAGATTTCTTTCTTTTTGTTGTTGTTGTTGTTGTTTAAAAAGATGACCGGTAAGGGGATCTTAACACTTGGTGTTGTCAGCACCACGCTCACCCAGTGAGCTAACCAGCCATCCCTATATGGGATCCGAACCCGGGGCCTTGGTGTTATCAGCACCACACTCTCCCGAGTGAGCCACGGGCTGGCCCTAGACTAGATTTCTGAAGTCTCTTGCTCTACAAATATAATGGGAGATGTTTTTTCATTTAAAAACATTTACAAAATATTTTCTGTAACAAGAGATTATTGAATATCTAGTTCATGACCAATGGTGTATTAGTCTCATTGATAATTTGTATTCTGCTGACTGTTGGTCGGTATACAAACCCCAGTGATAGAACAGATTTTCCTCTTGGGAAAAAGAATTTACGGGCCGGCCCTGTGGCTCACTTGGGAGAGTGTGGCACTGGTAGCGCCGAGGCCACGGGTTCGGATCCTATATAGGGATGGCCGGTGCACTCACTGTCTGAGCGTGGGTGCGGACAACACCATGCCGAGGGTTGCGATCCCCTTACCGGTTGGAAAAAAAAAAAAAAAGGAATTTGCATCTTCACACAAACCCTGGAAACATAGCATGTAGGAAAATGGAGCTGTCTGTATATGCACTTGTGTAATGAGGAAGTATTCTCAAGAGTTTATAGTCATATGTCATACATGTTAAGGAAACTGCAATTATGATAAGTTCAGAGAATTTTTAACAATTTTATAAAGTTATTAAATATGTCCTGTCAACATAATAAAAGCTGTTTGTCTTTTTAAAAATTAATTATTTTATTTTTTATGTGTCTATATGGAGGACTAAAAGATTTGAATTTACCAGTGTCCTTTATCTGCACTCTTTGGTGTAGCATAAGCATGGCTTCTTTCTCAAAGAATATCTCATAAAAGGAAGATAAAGGAGGGGGGGTGCTATGTTGGGACCCCGTGATGTACCCCCATGTAAGCACTATTTTAGGATTCTGAGAACACAGGCATTGTCACCTTCTACAGATGAAACAAAAATGTCCAGACTGGTTAAGTAACTTGCCCAAAATGTCCCAACTACGAGGCAACAGCTCGAGGATTTACACTCAGGGTTTTCATCTCCATTTTCCTCCAACTTCTCCACACATTGTACATTATACTCTAGTTAATACAGATGTGCATAGAATCTCCTGTATGGGCCTTCCTTTTATACCTCACCCTTTGCTCCTATGGTTTCTCTGCCTGGAATGATCTTCTCTAGTTTCTTTACAAGACTAAGTCATCTTTCAAGAATTGATTCCAACATCACCAGACGCCAGCCAAGCAGGGAAATACCTCCTTTCCCCTGCTTAACTATGTCTGCACTTCTTATATCTTAATTAAACTACTTTAAGGCAATGCTAGCTTCAATAACAAAGAAAACTCCAAAATTCAGTAACTAAGCACAGTACAAGCTTATTTCTCACTCATGTAAAGTCCAATCAGGTGTTCAGCTGGTGGCTTTCTACTCAATGATTCAGGAATCCAAATTCCATCCTCTAAGACCTTAAAGTCCTTAGTTTCCAGCAATGGACAGAAAAAGAGAGGCGTATGTGGAGGATTGCACGAGGGGTTTCTTATGGGTGAGTACTAGAAATAGCATACGTTACTTACGCCCACATTCTATATTGGCCAGACCTCAGTCATATGCCACAAGGACCTGCAAGGAAGACTGGGAAATGTCAACTATCTGTGTGCCCAGCCAGTAATTTGGTGAACACAAAAAAGTCACTGTCTTTCCCTTAAAGGATAGAGACTGAATCTTAATCATGTTATCTCTTTTGCCACACATACCACAGAAACCCATAAAAGTCCTATAAACTTCACTGGTTGTTAAGAGACGAGGTTGCTATCTCACATGCTTAAAATTAAAACTTACCATACTTTATAATGCTTGTTTAAGAATTCTCTATCATTCTCTGACTAGATAGCAAGCTCTGAGTATGGGAAATATGTAAGACCGTTCACTTTGAATTCCCAGAACAAGGACTAGAACACAGCAAGAGCTTCATAGATGTTTGTTAAATGAGTGAATGATTTCTCAGAGAGAAAAAAAAGGGAGTTAGTCTACATAGAGTTATGAAATACTAATTGAGAAGGTGACATTTGAGTTAAATTTTGAATGACTTCTAGAATCTTACCAAGTAGAAAAAGCAAGAAATGAAACTCCAGGCTGCAGTGGTAGTGGTGTTTTGTTGCTGCTGTTGTATTATTTGATTCATGAGTAGAATTTTTTAAAAGAATCATATATTTATAAGTCCAACTTTTTTTCATTCAATTTTTAAATATTACAGTTAAACTTCAGGGGTTGAAGAAAGAAATATATAACCTGGCAATCTATATAATTTCTATTGAATGGTAGTGAAAGAATGGTAGTGAAAACCTTGGCACTAATTTTTAACTTCTAAAATGTTATTTTCTGGACATTTTTGAGGAATACCAATACCAAGGCAATGTTCTGATCATTCATTATCTATGAAGATTTTTGCACTGTGTCAAGAAGCAAGAGAGATATAAGCCAAAGGTTATAATCCAAAGGTTCATTTTTGCTCCATATCAGGCTTACTCAAATCTGGCTCTGCCTCAAAATCACCTGTTGTGTTGGTTAGGATGCTTTTGGCTGCAAGTAATAGGATATTTGGTCAATAGCCCCTTCAAAAGTAAAGTTTAATTTTCTTATACAATGAGATGTCTGAAGGTAAGCAGATCCAGGGTTTATTCAGTAGCTCAATGATATCAGGGCTCTAGGTTGCTTTCCGATTAGCTAATCTTGACTTTTCTCATTAGCTAATCTTGACTTTTTCTTCATGAGGGGATGATGGCTGCTAGAGTGCCAAGAAGCACCCATAACCTCAATCCATAACCATACCCGTAACCTCACCCATAACCACAATCCACCCACCAGACATTTAGAGACAAAAGGAGGTTTTTCCTCTTGCCTCTCTGTTTTTCATTAAGAAGAAAAATGTTACCCAACACTTCCCATAGCCTTGCCTACAGATTCCATTGACAAGAAATGAGTCATATTCAGCCCTGAATCAAGAACTGGCAAACAGGAATGGTGTCACAGAGATTGATTTAGACCAGTCACGACTTACCATATGGATGGGGAAGGGAGCCACT